ATATTAGAATAATCAGTCGTGTTGCTGTTGGACCAGAAGCATTTTACATGTTAATTTGAAACAATAGAAAAAAGAAGAATTTGTTGCACTGTTAAAAAGAACCTTGCTTACATGGTCTACGATGACGAGATATCCACCGCCTGGAAACTCTTGACATTTATGCTTAAACCTATCGTAATATTCGATGTTGCTGCATGATCTCTGCAAAGAAATAAAATATGTGGTTAACCGTTAGTGAAGTTTGTTGTCAATGCGCTGATAACATGTTTTTTCACGTTTAGAACAAGTCCGCACAAAAATAACAAATCTCGATTTCGATGGAAGTTTGTATAGTGTAGAGCGCTTCTTTGCCATTATCGCACATTACCGTTCAATCGGGCATTAAACATTGATCATATCAATAATTTCACCGTACGCATATCATTCAGTTCATTCCGATACGTTAGTTCAAAAAAGCTACAAAACCTGTTAGAGCGCAAGTACGAATATTTGCACCCTTTTTCTTATTCTTTGGCTTATATAACGTCCCTACTGGGACTTTACGCCAGCTCTTAACTTGGTGTTTTAGATACACATCTGTGGAGAATGTTAATTGAGAGCTTTCTAAGCCTGTACCACTTTTGCATTGATACACTGAGGCAAAGTAACGTTAGAATTCCATAAGAACTACTTATGGAATTTCGACATTTTTTTCTTATGGAAATCATAATTTAGCTTATGAAACTTAAAAAAAAACTTAATTAAAAACTTACCGCTACACCACCGGCGCCGGCTTTCGTCAAACTTATGATTTCCATAAGAAATCTTATTGTTGAAATTTCATAACTCAGTGCCAACATTTCAAAGGGGCGTAATTGCATTTGTAAACAATGGCTTTAGTCGTCGATTTCTCGCGAATAAAAGCTCACTCATGAAAAATAATGACACCAGCAGGTAGAGGAATGTTTCGTCTACCAGCTAGCATTGTAATTTTAGAGAAGTAAGATTTCATTCGTGAGAAATTGACGGCTAAAGTCATTGTTTACAAAAGCAATTACGCCCCTTTGAAATGTTGGCACTGAACTGGTTCTTATGGAATTCCTACGTTCCTTTACCTCAAAGTATATAGGTTAATGGAGCGGTGCCGGTGGTGTAAGCGTGGCTACCTCTCACCCCAGAAGGCCTGGGTTCAATCCCAGTCGACGCCACCAGGATGTTCTGAGGCATAACATCGGGATGTTCTGAGGCATTCCCTTCGGAAGGGAAGTAAAGCCGTTGGTCCCCGGTTCATGAGTTGATGGGTCGATAGGTAGGGTTCAGGTGTGGGAGCTGCCTCCCTGGCGTCGGTAGCATTGGTGCTCAGCATTGAAAACAAGATCGACGGAAATCAATCCAAAGGAAAAAAAAAAAAGTTAATGGCGTATAAGAACCACTCGTAGTACCAAAGATGAATACTAAGATGAAACTGTCCGAAGAAAAACTTTCTATTTCAGTGTCCTCTTTCACGGTCCCTTTCATCCAATGCATACCCCCCGTATTCAAGGTAACTTTGTGGTTTTGCTGCCCCATCGGTAGAGATGAAATTTTGCGCTCATTTTTATCATTTTTTACTCGATTAACAACTAATCGATTATTTTTTTGTTCGCTGTGCTGCCATTTTTCCACCAATGAGAGTGCAGCACATGTTGGAAACGATCGGTGATGATCCTCTGGAGATGTTAATGCTTATATCGGCATGATATAACCAAGGTTGCAAATACTCATTTCAGCTAAAACAATGTTTTTCTAAATTATGAAATAATTAGATGCCATGATCAAATTTTGAATTAGTAGGATACAAGAAGAGGTTGCATAGAATGTGTTTGACATATTAAACCTGTTTATTTCACTTCATGAGAGTCACAATCAGCGATTTTTCACAAACTCACTCACTCACTCACTCACTCACTCAGCGATCAGCAAATCGCTGATTGTGACTCATAGAAAGCAAAATTTACAGGTTTTATGTTTCCAACGCATACTTTGTAACCTCTTCTTGTAAGTTACAAGTAAAACATGCCATCATACCATCTTTTGTTTTTATTATTCCGAAAAACATTATTTTAGCTGAAATGAGTATTTGCAACCTTGGATATAACCGATAACAAATATTTACTTTTCGGTTTGTTAATCGATTAATCGATTATTCGAATGAAAATCGGCCATAACTAGAGGAATGTGAAACGTCACTTAAAATATAAGGACCGTACATAAATAATGATACGATTTGAAAGGGACCGGGGCTAATCATAAATTACGTCCCCACGGTAACTGAAATAAACACGAGTGTTCACCGGTTGGTAGTACCTCATGTATTACGATAATTATTCATAAGCTTATAAAATGCATAACTCTAGCCATGGAATTCATAAGTATCTCATGAAATTAAAATTGTCCAGGTTCATAAGTCATGTCTTGTGGAATTCTTAAGATTTTTTTGCCTCTGATTATACACAGGCAAGTAAATCATCCTCTATGCCCAGGGAAGTCGAGAAATGTTTCATTCCGGAAAAATTCTAGACCAGACCGGGAATCGAACCCTGCCATCTCCACAATGGTCTTGCATTATAGTTGTGCATTTACCGACTGAGCCAAAGCAGGCCCCAAATATTTGCAACCTTTATCTCAAAGCAAAAGAAGCACTCTTAGCGAATCAATTGTTCCTGCCATACGGATGACGAAGAAAATCTAATGGCGTTTCAATGCGTTTGGACGGGAATGAAACTCGCAGGACGAATTTGGAATCAAGAAGTAGTGCTATATTTTTAACAAAATATAATCAACACACTAAGATTATTTCATAGATTTATGTAAAATTTTACCGAAATCTCAACAGCTGAACGTTCGGTAAACAGTTTTACAGTTTTCCTGTATTTTTTTACAGATATCTGTGAAAAAATCACAGATATTTGTGAAAAAGTACAGGAAATCCATGAAACTGAGGTTATGTATAGTGGAGTCCAGGCCCACATTTTAGGGGCCCCCACAAATTTTAGAAATTTTAATATTAAAACATAGAACCATGTTTCATTAATGTGAAGCCGAATTATGACGCCATTTGATATGATCAACATTTTAATAAAAATGCGGCTACATCTATGCATATACCACTATGTTACTTATTTCTAATGAGAATTGAACTTGAACCAAACAGCGCCACCCACACTGGATCCGGACCTGACGCGTTGCGGCAAAGTGACAGCTAACTCTATTGTTTAACTATCAAATTTACGTCAACGCAACGTTTAGCGCTAAGCGCTTAACTGTGATGATCGATTTTGTCTCTAGGGTTTCTCTTTGAATTACATTTTATCTAGATTTAAAAAAATCCAAGATTTTGCCAAAGTATTTTTACACTTTGGGGAAAGTTGTATTAACTAGATAAAACAGCAAACGCTATTAGCAAAACAAAAATTCAATGGAAAGAATCAATCATTGTTGGTTCTTATGATTATAAACGCTAGATGTAATTATAGCAATCGATTTCAGTCTATTCTGTTTCATCATGATTAGGATAGAGGAACGTATAGCCATGACTGGTACACCTACCCTACCCACATATTATTCAGCAATCATTTTACTTCTCTTCCCTGAATGCGGGCTTAAGCAATAGCAGGGTCAGATCTCACCGCAGGTGTACACTAGACTGATGCAAAATATGACATATTCACTCCAAAGTGATCAAACTGTTTCAAATCGGGTCCTGATTAGCCTCCCAAAATTTGAACTTGTTTGGTAAGAAACTGATATGGCACAAACCATTTGAAGTTTATAAGGAAATTACTATGGGAAAACCAAATGTTTTGTTCATAGCCATCTAACAATTCACCATATCGCTTTGCTTTAAGCAATTGAGCTTATAGCCAATTTTCTCAGCTACAATTTTGTTCAAAACCAGTTTTCGACATAATGTAAGCATCAAAAGTTATTAATCATTCTAGTCACTAATGTCTTATGATTATGCTCAATCAACTGTTCAGCAGGCAACATTGGTGTTTCTGTCGCGTAGAATAAAGCACTAAAATCATGGCTACTATGTCACACTGCAGCATACAGTGTTGCCCACAAAACAGCTGCTTGATCATGCCATAAGATTATCAATCTCTTAAACAATTAATAACTATTTTAAGTTCTTCATTCTGTAAAGCTGTAGCAGAGAAATTTTTTCATAAGAATAGCTATAGAACTTTTGAACAGTGCAATATGGAAAAAGGCTGGAAGATAATGATCAAACAGTTTGGATTTCCCACAGTTATTTCCATATAAACTTCAAATGAAATGTTTCTTATCAAATGAGTTCTAATTTTGGGATGCTAATCAGAACCCAATTTGAGACCGTTTGAGCACTGTGGAGCGAAAATATCAAAATTTGCATCAGTCTACTGTACACATTCAGGTGTTTTTAATCATAGTCAAGTATACAAATAATAATTGGAGGATGTAAGCGCATAATTTTCACGTTTTTAAAAAACTTTCTGCTGATACACATGCATTTTTTTTAAATAAGCACACTATTTCATCTTTCACAGTTTAAAATCTGCCGAAGCGATTAATCATAGCCTATTTTGAGATTACCTGCGTCCTGAATAAATTGGTGTACTTGTTACAATCCATCACAAGCACATATCTAATCAATGATAGAAGAATGCAAACCCGCAACAACATTTTATATCACCAGAGAACTGTTCAGACAAACTAAGATGCTAATGTAAACTGTTTCACTTCACTTCAGATCGATAACTATCACCGTTGGTGTATCGTCGGTTTGACATTCGAATCTGGCATCATACCATTATTTTATGATGCTGCTAATGCATGCTTTTCGTGATTTATCTTATGTAATAAGGCAGCACGAAGAAAGTTCTGTTGAAGCACGTTGAGACTGTTGATGCTTGTACGTGTGCATTTTTAAGATGTGCTCTCGTTCTTATCTAATACATTGGAAGATACCGTGGCATTCTTTCGTAGTTGGGGCTTGCGAGTTGTTTCATGCAGTTTGATATTTATTTCATTATAAAATAAAATGTAAATTAATTAAGATATACTTTCTATAAGAAGATGTGACTATTGTGAACTAACGTCTACAATCCGATCAACATTCGATAGTTGTTATGCGATTATGAACAATCATCGAGAAACACATTTCAGTTGCAGTGATGAGTGATTTCCATTGCCGATAGTAAATTGTCATAGTTTCTGCAGTATATTTCGTACGTTATGGTCTCCTTGTGTTAAATGATTCACTTAATGTGAACTAATACTAAACTACTTACAGTTATACGAATAAATTAAGAAGAGATTCGACGACTATACAGACACCATGCTAGCCAATTTCAATTTGTCAATCTTTGGTAGACAACTGTTTCAGTGTAAACTTTTTTCCTCCAAGGGCAAGGAAAAGTGTATTCACATGTTTGATCTATAAGTAAAGAACCATCTCGGCCATTTCTGGTCCGCTGCTAACTATAGCCATCACAGTACTTAAATGTATGAGCTTTTAACTGACATTAAGAAGAATATGCTTCTTTACAGCACATTTTAAAATTTCGGTGCATTATCTAATCATCTAAATTCTAACTTCCTGTTCATTCTGTTGCTAATCCTAATGCCATCATCATCATCATCAGAGACATCTTTGCTCATCAAATTAATTAGCATCCAATGTTTAAACTATCTATCGCACAATTTGTTTCAAGCATTATTGGTATCCGTTTGGTCAACAGCGATGCTGCGCAGTGATCTGAAAAAGGGTTCAAAGGTGTTTATAGTCTGTAATTATAGAAGCGAAGGGAGGAAAGTTTTAGAACGTAATTTAAAGCCAAACTTTTGGTTTAGTGAAAGTGAGTACAATTGGCTTACCTGGATCGTTCAAAGAGGGAAGGGTCAGTATAGATCGGTTCGCTTGGGTCATCAAATTCGCTCTTATTGCCATTGCTTCGTAAAATTGGGTTCATCACAGGAATTTGGCACATTCGCGACAGGTTTCTGGAAGGTGGGTTAATACATGAGAGTATTGAATTAAGGCATGTGAACAATGAAGTCTTGTCGACATATTGGACTAGTGTTTTCCTATCTAATAATTTATTTCAAATAATAATTTGAACCCTCGTGTGAATTAATTAGGCAATCAAAACTAGAAAGTGGTCCAGTCAGAATCCGGAGCACAGTTATTTTACTTAGTAATCAGTTCTGAAAATGTTGACAGCAGTTGGTTTGTTTCCTCGCAATTCGTTCTAATATCCGACGTGGTTAGCTCTATAAATAGCAAAGACGTTGAAAACAATAAAAAACATTTTGGACTCGGAACAAAGAGAGGTCCGCGGTAGAATAAGATCATTTTCGTTATTAAATTTGTAAGGAATCTAATGAACTGGTAAGAGATTTGTAGCTGTGGATGTTAATCCCAGGTTTTCTTCACAAACAGGGATGATTGACTTGAAGGTGTACAAGCAAGAGTGCGTTCAAAATTTGTTGAAAATTTCAGCCAGAGTTGGCTAGCCGGGTAGAACTTCAGTGGACATTTATAAAATTGTCGTAAAACCATGTAAAAGTTGTCTATAGAATGCAAAAAAAAAAACAGTGTGATATAATCATTTTTGTACGACATTTCCAAATTATGACATTTCAAAATTAGAACAATTTCGTAATATGGCTAAACACGGTTGTTCACTTCTGCCAAACATGAACCCATCAATAGCATAGGAAATTTTATGAAATGTAATTGAAACTAATAAGGAACTTGGAGATGATTTCTTAAATAATGTACCGTAGTAGCGTTGAGGGAAACACATCCACAGTTAATACTATAGTTAATAGACAAGTTCAACTGCGAAACACTGATCATAAATGATTGGAAAAAAGGAATAGCTGATCGCGGATCATTCCAACTTACCCTGTGGCAAATGTTTTTTGCAGACCATTTCCAAAAAGCGACAATCCTGGTGATCGTATGTTTCCTTCGCCTCGAGAAGACGAAGTCCCCCTACCGGACGCATGGAACTGACTTCCAGAAACGTTATGCAATGCTGAAGGAGTAAAAGAATTCACCGGAGATGTGCGATCGAGTGAACGATTTTTCATAAACACCTTCCAGTAACGCCGGTAGGCCAATCCAGAAGCAAATGTAATACCGATGAGCAGAATCATGAGAAGAATTAACGCGCTTAGCAATCCGTAGTACTCGGAATTGGTCAAGCAGACAGCTTCTTGCGGAGCAACCATCTTCCTGGCAACGGTGTCTTGTTGCATTTCTTCACGTGATTGGAAGACCTGCAATGTATGAAAGGCACGAGACTTTTAATTACTTTTTGATCTGCAGCTATCAAATTATGAAGATCCTGATTTACCTCAATCATTTCGCGAACTTGTTCCGGCATCTCACTTGAGTTCGCCTCCAGATCATAGGCGTTTGATTCATCGGTGTCCTTTGTGCTATTTTTATGCATCTTGCTATCATGCACAACTGTTCCGTTAACTACTGAGACTTCATCGTCATCTTCCATATCGTCTCCGATCAGCGGTTCAGCCGTACCATCGAACTCTGTGGGGCTTTCAGACACGGATCTCTTTCGCCGACCGAACGACGGTTCCGATCGCCCACTAGGTCCAGGACAGTACGCCTTTAAAGAAAAAAATTGCAATGAAAACACAGCTTCACAATCACACATTAAAGCCATACCGGTTGACAGCCCCCTCGACAAGTGCGAACAGTGGCTTCGAACACTAAGAAGTTGGACTCCGGAATTTTGAAGGCATTGAATCTCGCTTCCAGAGCATCACTCTCTCTTGACCGTCCCAGCTCTGGGAATACTAAATTATCCACTGGACAACTGCAGATAGGAGAAAGAAGTTCAGTAATGTTTTTAAATCCATTAACCCTGATATTTACCCGTAGTTATCTATCAGCTGTACACTTCTTCCCGAGTAAGGATCGCGAGCCACAACGTTAGTTGCAAAAATGTCCGTAGCGTGACTGTAGCCATCTTGAGATTCTAAACGGAAGGTCAACGGATCACCAACGGCAATGGTCGTTGTTGGGCGTCCCTGGTACAAAATCATAAGCCGTACCTTGTTGCTCATCGAATTCTCTGCCGGAAGGTACTCGATCGGGATCGGACTGCCTGACCTGTCAATATCATTGAAGCTACGTTTCAGGCAAAATAAATCGTACGTCCTTTGTCAGATTTGATCTTGTATCGCAAATGATCGATGCTCTATCGGTACAAGATTAAACAGTCAAAGGATGATGATCACTGGAAATGTTAGTAGCTACGCTACTTTTTCTATTGTCAGTATTCTAAATGTTTATTATCATGCATTCGGCTGGCTACAGACATGCAATGTTGAAAATGGCATAAATGCTACTATGTTCATACCCTGCTCCAATGTATCCCGATGTAACGACTGCTTCTCCAGGTCCACGGAACATACAAGTCAGATTAAATCGCTTGTCACGACCGGTCTGCACATTATCCGAGAACTGCACAACAATGATGTTCGTCATCGTATCTCCATACTAGGTAAAAAGTTTTAGGCTCAGTTATAGGCCAAAATTATGAAGCCTTAAGAAATTACCCTTTGTGTGCCACATTCCGGATAGCCTCCAGGACCACTTATGCGTAGAACATTCACGGTACCTCCATTTCCGCGGAAGAAACAACGATCATAGAATCCATACGCGTAAATTCGCCCCAAAAAGCCTTCCGGGGTTTTCAACGTAAACTCCATGCCATCCTCGTTACAAAGTTGCCCAACTAAATAAAATTTTGATCAATTGGGAAAAAAACCTATTTTATCAATATTTTAAACTCACCATCAAGGCACTCTTCCCCTTGACCTTTGCCCATAGATCTCTCGTAGTAATCCGAGCTATCCGTTTCGAACATTTGGCTGCTCGGTATGTCTAGGTCACGTGAGTCTCGATCACTCAACTCACAGTTGCCCTCTGTTTCGTATGGTGCCGAATCCTTATAGTTGAAACTTCGGCACATAAAATCTCGTGCTGAAGCACATTCTTGCTGACAAACTCCAAGTGAAGGAGCATTGATAACCCGTCGAACGAATTGTTTACGCATCTTACGCTTTGATGCCATCTGTTTAAAACTGTCATAACCGTCGCAGCGGGTTTCGTAAGGGCGCTGCGGTCCAAATCCACCGAACCCATCACCTCCTCCTAGAGTGTTATCGTATCCGGAGCTGGACGGTCCATATGGAATTTCAAATGGGTATCCTCCACCACTATCGGGCATACCCGGTCGTCGATAGCCGCGGTCACGATCCGGGAATGGTGGCAGAGGCATCGGCGGGATGCGCCCCGCTCCCGATGGAGGGTACAATGGTCGTTCGTATCCACGATCGGGTCCGTACGACGGCCCATACCCCGGCATATATCCCATATCGTATCCTACAAAAGTAAGAGATATTTATATAGATATAGATATAGATGGCACAATTATAAACACGAAACATTGAACATTGATTATTGATCATATCGAAAGGAATGAATTATTACCAGAATTGCCGTTGCCGTACTTGTTTGTGAATGGTATCTGGTTTGGTGAAGTTGGGTAACGGCCCTGTGCTGGAATCGGTTCCATGGGGTATCGCGAATCTGGTGCAGGGTAGCGATTGTTATCGACTGGTCTCAATGGTGGAGGATAACGATCTGTGGTGTAACCACGCTCTGGTGGTGTTCTGGGAGGCGATGGATAGCGAGTTTGGTAGTTGGGATACATTTGTGGCATGTATGGGTAGCGAGTGCCAGTCGGTGCCATGGGATATAGTGAATCATGAGGTCCACTTGGATAGCGTGAATCGCTTGGTCGCATTGGTTGATATCTAGGGTCTTGAGTGGGTGGTTGGAGAGGTGGATAACGGGAGTCAGGTGGATATCGCGTATCCGGAGGATAACGAGAGTCTGGAGGATATCTGTTATCGGTTGGGTATCTTGAATCTGGAGGATAACGAGAATCAGTTGGATAGCGAGTATCAGGTGTAGGTGGGTATCGTGGGTCAGGAGGATATCTCGAGTCAGGAGGAGGAGGATACCGCATTGGATGACCAACGGGAAAAAGGTCGGGTTCACGATCCGGATACCGATCTGTTGGTCCGTAGCGATCCCCTGGAAACCGATTGTCGTACACCGGTGGGTATCTACCATCGACATCCGCTGGATATCGATCTGTTCCATGACCCATTGGATAACGATCCGTTGGTCCAGGGTATCTGTCAGTTGATGGATAACCGCCTGGAAATGGTTTATCTGTAAGTGTGGTAAATGCAGGGTGCTGAACATGAGTTGCACGACTTTTGGTGCCTTTTTGGTTTTGCATAGGAAGTGTCTTTGTGTCAAATTATTAAGCCACATGAATATCTTTAGTTACTACGAATACACATTTACACGAACATTTATACTTGAAGAAACACAACTTACCTCCATAGTCAGGTCGTACTCCAGGAGGGTAACGATCAGATGGTGGGAAACGGCCCGGCATCCTATCATCAGGTACGCGATCACGGTCCCGATCACGGTCCCGATCACGATCCCGATCACGATCCCGATCACGGTCTGTAGGTGGAAAATATCACGTTAAAAATGGTTATGCTCTGGTCACTTAGAAGCCACAGCTATTACCTCCATAAGGTGGTCTCCAATCAGTTGGATCGGGTCTGCCATTGGTCGTATCGGAATCACCACCCACTAAATGTGCTTTAAATAGTTTAATAAAAATATACCTTATTTAGAGACTAGACCTACTACTTGATACTTACGCATTAGATTTTCATAGTAATCATAATCGGCATCGTAGATGATGCGCATTCCATCTCGTTGATTGTATCGACTGAGACGGCAGGTTCGAAAGCGATCACTATAGACCGCAGATCGGCACTGGAAGCTGGTCTGCCGGAGGCACTCGTCCAGACACTCACTCAACGACCTGCCCGTAATTTCCGAATGGAACTCTCCACCTAGTCTAGAGTTTCGATACCTCTGAAAGGCGGTATCTGGACGTCTGCCGCTAGCGAACAAATGTGATGTAACGGAATTTTCCGGGTAATCGGACCCGCGCTCTGGTTTGTGACAGTAACAAGGCAGTGCATTACAAAACTGGGCCCGTCAATGTCGCTCCCCGAACCCCCCAGTGTGTTCCGAACTCCACACAACACTTGTGCAAAGGATGAGTTAAACAACACAATCAACCGGTTAAGAATCGTCAGAAGAGGTGGAGATTCCATCTAGGAAAAGGGTTTAACACAATGTGCAAGTCAGACGGGAGTGAGCCGCTAGGTCAAACGCGAGTATCTCGGCTCCCAAGCTCTCGGATCCGTCTCAGGATACCAACGGAAATGGTTCTAGAGAATAACAGTATAGCCAAAGCAAATTCAGTTATGCGTGCTCGTAGCGTTCACTTAACCATATAGTTAGCGTGCAGTGTCGCCTGTATGTACTGGGTGTGGGGAAATTCTTCTGAATGAATTCTAGGATGAATGAAGTTCTTCTGACGACCCGGGGGGTTCATTGATGGGGAGTGATCATCACAAAATGCAATAGTTGATTTTGAAGCGAAAGCGTAACTTGAACGGTACTTACGGTTATCCAAACACACTAAATCATAGAAATGATGCGTGGGACTAGAGCTTATGCTGAGATCATCTTTCTGCGAGACGGAGTCTTCCTCGGAGAGAATACACTGCTTCGTTTGATCGTCAAACTCGATTGAGCGGCAAAAGTATCTGTGGTAAGAACAAGGTGGTTGTTGGTAATTCATCCATACAATACAAAAATTGGTTACTTTTCAGCTCTCAAGCAGAGCGACTGGCATTCCTCGAGAGTCATGTTGTTGAAAATCTCCACTTCGAAGGGACCACCCAGACGCTTGTTTTCCTCCTTAACGTAGACTATCAACCCATCACAGCGACGCTCAGCATTCAGACAGGTATTTTCTAGGTAATCCGAGTTCGGGTCGTCTTCCAGGAGTTCCGGATGAGTACGGCGAGTGAATCGGCTCATCGAACAACTCCGCAGGGTAGAGTCGTAGTTAGCTGAACGGCATACGAACGAAAATTCATTGAGGCACTTATCTTCGCAGTCGGAACGATTTGCGGCAGTCACTTCCTTGATGTCGGAAACGGGCAGTTTGAGTTTCTTTCTAGGATGTCTTTCGAACACGTACCGTCGACTGGGACATTCACGGTCTGGTCGACTGGCTGTAATTTATAAATGAATCAATACATAACGATCATAAGGATGATAAATAAGCATATTTACATGTTAGGCACACTTCGGTGAAGTGAACGCTGTTCGGTACTAGCATAAGATTTCCTATCCCTTCAGGAGCGGCTTGTTCTCGCGTGAGATAGCAAGTGGATTCTTCATATTCAACGCTTCCGCTGAATGAGGCGATTCTGCTTCCTGGCTGGAAGTCAAAACTCGTACAGGCCCGGCCCAAATTGTTGGATGCCGTACGATCCCGCAAACATAGGTCCTGACATTTCTCCAGCACTCGGAATGGTGGACCAGAATCTCGGACGACGTCATCGTCAAAGCCTTGTAATTGTTGATTTGGAAGCCTTTCATACAGCACCCGACCCTGACCGTTGTTACAGGTGGTTTGACCTAACACTAACACTAATCTAGCTAATAGTACGACAACGGCGATGTCGGACACCCCCGGCAGTAGTTTTTGTCTCTTACGCATTTTATTTCTTCTTTTATCTGCTTAATTCTTACGTATTTTCTGCTTTACAGTTAATGATAACTTCATACTCCCATCCACTCTAGGCAGTTTTATCGCTTTCGACCGTTTGTTATCCAAAGTTCAAACAATTCCTCACGCCTTTCAACCATTTCACCATCTCATGAAATCACTGCGTGAGCGATCTGAAAATGAAAGGAAAACGAACAAGGTAGATGAGTTAATAAATTGGCGATCACAGATTAGCTGTTGAGACTGTTGAAGATCAGTAGGTACGCGGCTTCTGATGGTATTGAGATACAGCAAACTACACTTCGCAGTCAGCAGTGGTTTTGGGCTGTGGTTTTGATTGTGGTGATGTTACACAATGAAAAACTATTACCATGATTGATCATCGATCGGACGTGGAACGCAGGAAGTTATTATTATCGTTATTACAGGGCATGGTGTGAATAATATGAGCGTGTGGCACACCACAGGTCAGTAATGATCGTTCATGTGTAACATCGCAGGCGAAGAATTGGGTCAATTTGAGCTGGTTTAGATTCTTGTTGGGGAAATTTAGGATAAAGCTGGTCTATAGATGTGAATCTGCAGGAAGAAGATTAATTTTGATCGCAGGCTATGGAGGTTATGCAAACGCTATAATTGGCACAACTGCCACAACTGTTCGGACATTATTTCATCTTTAAGAGATAATTTGACAAATGTAAATTTTCAAACATTATAACTATAGGCTACACATTTTTCGAAAAACAATTTATAACAAAGTGTTAGGATGGAAATTTTGGACCTGTTATAGAATGAATAGATATAACTTGCAACAGAAACTCAGATTTGTCATTTGTATAATTTGATTCGCCAAATTTCGGCGTGTCAATAACAAAAGGATGAATCACGCAAACTTTTCGCCGTAAATTTCCCAACATTTGGCTGACGCGACGACGATGTTTCTATATGAATTGAGCCCCTGCCGTGCTCTAAGTACGCGCGCGCCGGGCACCGATCGGTCTGATGTGGCATTCAACACGGAGCCGCCAATTTTGAAGGGAATAAGCCACAAAGAGAGATACAGGGAGAAGAACCGGAACCAACTTCCGCTGATTGGAACAGTTGATTTGTTCCGCTTTGTGGTTTTCCACTGTGCGTTCACAGCCCGGTACGATGCGGTCGGTAGAAGAATGCGTGCTGGCTCTAAAAAGAATATAATTAGGTATCATTTTAATGCAGGTAACTCTTTCTGGTTGGGCATTGGGCAGTAGTGCTTGTGTCTGCCGGCCGAAGCGTGATTTGGTGGTTCTGGAAGCCGTGGCACGTTTTTCGGTTTTTCTTTCTCTTTCATCTACAACTGTACGTGATGCGGTGAAGGAGACGAATTGTGATTTATAGTTGATTGAGGTCAAAAGCGTACGGGTATCGTGCTAGACCATAACATGATTAGGTTGTACTATAACACCCGGCGAGTCATTTGAATTTCATTAGGTGGCTTGGTTACCAAAATTTGTTTCTCGATAATTAATTCTGAAAGTATTACAATAGCTTGTGTGTAATATTGTGTTTCTCAATGTAATAACTTCATTGGCAGTCTATTCGTTGGCCAAATGGACGCGTGGAAAACTAAAACTACCGTAGAACGGAAGACTTTGCGTGGGAAATTGAATTATAGAAATAAAGTCGTTAGCGTTACATGTATTAAGAGAATTACATGCATGCTTGGCATGCACAGTTGTACGCACCAACTGCTCATTTGTTTATAACTTTTCACTCAGTTATTGCAAATTGATTTTATTTAAAGTAATTGATAGATTAGGATCATAGCTTAATATAGATATGCAAAGAGTAGGTAAATCTTAACATTTGAATTAACACCACTTCTTCATTTTTCCAACGCTAAAATAATTACAGTTTATTACTAGAATTAAAATCTACCTTTTCTTACGTACCTATTACAAGCTTAAACTTTATTCTATCTACTGCTTCAAACAGAACTACGTTTTGTCAACTGTGTGCAAAGTTATTAGCAAATGAGCAGTTTGTGACCAAAACTGTGTATGCCAAGCATGATTACATGTTGATGGTGTGATTTTGCCTAGAAAAGAAGTGGGTTTAGAAAGCCTTTCCGAATTTTCATAGACATTTTACCCTTCTTATTTCTTAGGGGAGGGGAGGTAACATTGCTCATGATTTTCTAAAATGATGCTAATGTCTGCTGTGTTTCGTTTCCTATTGAAGCTATTGAATTACATTTTTGTACGATCATTTGTCAAAGGCTTTTGTTACACTGTTGTTTCTTACAACAAATGTAATGACAGCTCTTGCAAAGTACTGCAGCGTTCAAACATTTTTTTTTCCAGAAGGCATATTTTTGTATAAAACCTTCACGAGATGATTTTCTAGACGCAATGGATTTGGGTAAACAGACTTTGTTCGATAAATAAGCTTACATAAACATTATGTTTAAAACCTTCCGGTGACCATATTACAGAATCTGTTTATGTCGCGAACAGCGAATTCTAACTCGTTGATCGCTTGTCATTTTGTCATTTTGAGATATTTTTGATTCCTTGGTCGCACAACATTGCAAATTCTGCATACTTTTCAAGTAAATCTGTAATAGAATCTTACATTTCATGTCTGGGTGTAGGAATGAAGGAAATGTCGTTGACAAATAATATAAACAAAAGTGGGCCTACACACTTAGATTTTTGACGTAGGACTACGTCTGTGATTTCTATATGGGGGTACACTTTGTGAAAACCAAAAATTGAACATGTAACAAAATTATGAAAGATTTTGAACGTTAATAACTCAGCTGCCCCCTGACCAATTTCAATAATTTTATCACCAATCGATCAGAAATATTTCTACGCATCTGTTAATTTTAAGACTTTATTAATTTTTAAAAATGTTGCCATTGCAAATTGCACGAATATGCAACTGTTGCTATGATAATTATAATGATATGATAATATGATGCTATGATAATTAAAATCAAGATCCACTTGTGAAAAGGGCATACAAGCTTTTTGTAAACTTTTGTAGGCCCTTTTCTCGCCAACCGACGGTCACACACGCAAACCAACAACATTATCGGGTAGGAGAAAGTTTCTCCTTACCGGTGATATTAATGATTTGCGTTGTGACATATGGATGGCGAGAAAAGGACATAAGATGAATTGTTTACAAAAAGCTTGTATGCCCTTTTCACATGTTATTCTTGAAATGATCACCGATTGCCCTAGCGATTGCTTGCGAAAAGCGATTTCCCTTACACAGATTTCAATGTTGAATTCCATCCGGTGAGTGGTGGTGTTCTTCAGTACACAACGAAAGGCTCCGAACACTGTCTGGAAAATAGGTATTCGGGCTTATAAGCCAAAGGGCCTCCACTAGATTTTTTCTGCTGACGGTCGGGACATGAGTACAAACTCTTGTCCTGACCTTATACGGCTTATGGTTATAGAGTCATTGCTCGCTTTCTGAAAAATAAGAAGGAAATATAAAGAAAAAAGAGGAAGGAAAGTACAAGAAACAGATGAATAAAAAAGAAAGAACTCATCCATTTGCTTGAAAGTAAAGAAGGAAATAGAAAGGAAAAAGAGGATGGAAAGTACAAGGCACAAATGAATAAAAAAGAAAGAACTCATCCATTTAGTTCACTAATGGGTAGAACTTTAAAAAAATTAAGAGGTTGTATCCGAGACACGACCGTAGATTAGACGTGAGATTACGAGCTCGATATCAATAATCGGCGGCTGTGTAAGGGAAACCACTTTTTTATCCATCTTGGAAACGCCTCATTTTCTAATGACAAAATTACGCATTTTCGTGCACAAAACGGACGAAATTTTTGGTTTATTCAATAGATGATAAAACAAAGCAAAAATTGATTGGAGGAATTTCTTGCTGAAATTTTCCAATCGCGATCAATCATATAAATTAGAGATTTTTTTTTGCTTTTTTCTACCAATCTGGAGAAAACTTTACCTTAATTCGAATTGTTTCTGGTTAATTGGCAAGGTCATCTTGTATTCGGTCATTGGGAACGTTCAATGAAAATTAATTCTTAATCAACAATAATTTATGGTGGTCCTGAAAAAAAAAACCGTTTTGTCGTGATGGCTGAGTAATGTTCAACACGGATGATGCTGCCGAGCTGTATGTTGTTTGGAACGAGGGTGACACGCTTGGCATGAATCCGATCAGTAGCGGTGCTGCTTCTTCCTCCTTCTTCGGTGAATCGAAGGTTCACCAAAGTCAGGCTTGATAGCTAGCTGCATGCGAGGAGCATTTCGTTGTGCACTGGAGAAAAATGTACAACGACAAGCTCCAAAAGCACTGCTGCTGCTGCTGCTGATGATGATGACGACCGACGACCGACGACGAGATCGGATGGAATTCGATTTTGAAATCTGTGTTAGGGAAAGTGTTTTTTACAGGCCATTGGTGATAGCTTTGATCACCATTGCAACACTTGAATATTTGTGTACTTTTCAATAGTGACCTATTGAAAATTAAGAAAGTGGTCATTTTTCTAATCGATTGGCGAGTGTATAGTCAATATATTCATAGTCTGGCGGAGACAATGACGGGAGCTAATTTGACCTGTCACTCGCGGGAGCCAATCGAGCACGGAAACGAATTTTGTTCTTTTAAATCAAAAATATAAATATTCATTCTTCAAACATGTTAATCATTCAAAGTTAATTAAAAACATTTTTGCATCAAAAATATGTTTCTTTGAATTAAATACAAAGCATGTTTATTGATTAGTTTCCCTAGAGCTGTCTGCAGATATTTTTTCGAATTATTTTGCTTTATAGCGCATTCAAATACCTTCTAAAATAATTTAAAAATATGTATGTATGTATTAAAAATGAACAGCATGCTTCAAATAAACACATATGTTTTTGTTCCCATAGTTGTCAAATTATTCAAGAATATTCATGTTTATTTTCAACAAGAATATTTTTAAAATAAACGTAGCATTAATTTTATTTTAAACATCGATATCACATGACTTCTAACATGGAATACATTTGAAATGAACCTAGTTTATTTTTGTGGCCAGAACAAACTGAGTTTACGTTTAAATTTACCTCAAATATGTTTGTTTCAACGATATTTTTTTCTGCGTTAGCATGACTGTTTCTTTTTAGATCAAAATGGTCGAAGTATTGTGATC